TTAAAGCCCTTAGCGCAAAAATGCGCAGAAATTGGAGATGTGCTTCGAAAAGCGGAAGGCTTGAGGAGCTTTTAAAAAAAAAAATTCCTGGGGTAAGTCGGGGCAAAGGTCTTAAATGAGCAATTTAGGTTTTCGCCTGTTGTCGGCCACGGAAGAATTTTCCCTCGGTCGTTTCGACACAAATCGCAACTCTTCGGGTCGGTGCGTCCTTGTGGGGGTCATCCGTCCCTAATTTTCATCGTATCGGGTAGTCTGAACCATTCAAGTTTGAGATATGGGCGAAAAACGACCGAATAATTTTGTCCACCTAGAAATCGATTTTTGACCACTGTGCGTCGTTTGGCGATTTGCTGCTCTATACCCGCCGGGTTCTTCAACCTGAGTTCGTTCTTGGCGACGGGTAGAAGCGAACGGGTTGTTCTACTCAGAAACTTCTGCGCCGGTGATGCTCCATCTCTTTGTTTCGTGTGCCTCCATTCGAGCAGCGCTTGTTCGAGATCTGATTTTTCCAACGATGTTTTTTTAATCAGCCTCTTTGCTATTTTACGGCGGACTCCGCCTTTCCGTTGCTCGAATGAAAATGAGGTGAGCTCGCGTTGTGTCTCACCTTCGACTTGCTCAGGAAGTCTTGAAACACCGCTGACAAATATCTCGGGTCGCTGTCCGTTCGGAACTGTCTCGGGCGTCCGAACGTAGCAAATACCTTTTTCGTTGTTTCCACAATTTGATGTGCCGTTGCGGTGCGTCCGAGTGCGCTTAGATGGAAAAAGTCGCTAAAGCCGTCAACTGTGACCACGAATTGTTGATTCCCCCACTCAAACAAATCCTGGTGAACAATGTCCCACGGATGCTCCGGGACTTCGCCACTGATCGAACTCTCAGGTGGCAACTTTGTGCTGAAGGTTTGACACGTCTGACATGCTTCTACCATGGTTTTGATGTCGTTCTTCATACCTGGCCAGGTGATGACCCCTCGGGCTCTGCGAAGTGTTGCATCAAGCCCTTGGAGAGCTCGGTGACACCGTTGCTACATATCCCGGCGGAGACTCTTCGGAATATAACATGCCCTTCCGATGAAGATAATGCTTTCATCAGATCGGATTCCCTCCTTGAAAGTCCTGAAGTTCGCGAGCAGGGCTTCTCTCCCGATCGTGGATCTTTCTTTCATTGCCCGGATGAGCCCAATGCATTCCTCATCCCGGACGGTGTGCCTTCGTATCTCTTCCAGCACTGGATCCGATATTGCCGTGCCGTCATGAGTTCTGATCGCCTCCAGATCCAATCGATACAAAGTTTCTGCGTGGGACTGCGCCCTCGGGTCCCGCAACGGAGCGCGGCTGAGCGTGTCCGCAATGACGTTGGTGTGACCCGGGATGTATTTCACTTTCAGATCAAACCTCTGGAGCGTCAGCCTCATGCGCTGGAGGCGTTTGGGACATTCTTCCAATGATTTTTCGAGTCTGCGAACCAGTGGTTTGTGGTCCGTCTCGACGATTATGTATTTCTTGCCGTACAGGAGGTGATGCCAGCGCAGACAGCATGATACGATGGCCAACGTTTCTTTTTCCATGGCTATGTATCCCTTTTCGGCCTCCGACAACGCATGTGAGTCGTAGCAAACCGGCCTACCCCCTTGGAGCATCACAGCTCCGACTCCAAGATCCGAACTGTCCGTTTGGATTGTAACCGGCTCCTTTGCATCGTAAAACGCCAGTGTCGGGGAATCCGTCAGACGCTTCTTGATCGCATTGAACGCTTTCTCCTGTGACTCCATCCACACAAACTGATTGCCCTTTTTGATCACCTCTCGCAATGGCGCCGTAAGGTCTGAGAGCTGGGGGATGAACGGTAGATGGTAGTTCACCATTCCCAGGAAACGCTCTACAGCTTTTGAGTTTTCCGGTCTCGCCATCTCCTCAATGGCTTTGATCTTCTTCGGGTCCGACCTTACGCCCTGACTAGAGATGATATGCCTCATGTACCGAACTTCCTTCAAACATAGCTGCAGTTTCTCCCTTGAAGTTGAACTTTAGTCCGAAGTCCCGAGCTCTTTGGAACAGAGCCCTGAGATTGCGATCGTGATCTATTTTAGCCTCTTCATACATACATACATAACATGATTTATTGCGGTGTAGTCATGGCAAATGTTGACAGCAATCATGAACCCTTGGTATGCAATACAGAGATAACAGGTGAAATGGAGCGATGGGGACTAGGTTGGACTAGATGATGGTGCGACCTGGCAGTTTAACAAATGAGCTTTGAGCAAGCGTTTGAATCGGGGGTAGCTGCTGGCGGCACGCGTCTCGGTCGGCAGCGAATTCCACACGACGGGGATGAGGAAGCGGGGAGAGGACCTGGTGAGTCTAGTACGAGCACTAGGCAGCGCGAGATCGAGTGGGTGGTGTCGTCGAGCGGAGGTTACTACTCTGAGAGGTAGGCAGAGGAAACCAGGGAGACGATTGTGAACACCGAGGAAAGCGATGCAAGAAATACGATAGGTGAAAAGCTGTGACAGGGAGAGAAGGCCGAATTTCTTGTAATAGCGCCTAACGGAAGCGCGGAGGGGGAGCCCGAGAACGGCCCTGAGCGCATTGTTCTGGGCAGATTGTAGTGTTGAAAGAGTACTTTTAGGGGCCGAGCCCCAAGAGCAAATGCCGTAGGCTAGAGTGCTGGAGAACAGGAGTCTGAATACAAGGAGGAGGTGGGAACGAGTGAAACCAAGCCGTCGGAGGCGGTGAATACAGAAGGTGATTGAGATGAGTTTTTTGAGCAGGCTTTGAACATGAATATTCCAGGAGAGATTAGCACTGAGTGTGATACCCAGGCACTTGGCCGAGTCCACGGGAACGAGCGCGGTACCGTCCCATAGGATGGGAGAAGCGAGGGGGGGAGATGGGCGGTGACTGGGGGAGAAGAGCACGAGTTTGGTTTTGTCGGCATTTACAGGAAGGCGTAGGAAGTTAAGGAGGACTGAGATGAAAGTTAGATGATCATTGAGGGCGGAGATATCGTTGGCAGAGTGTGGCGATTGGAGCGAGTAAAGAACTGAAGTGTCGTCAGCGAAAGCTACCGCACGCAGAGCCGGTGAGCGAGAGTTGGCGAGACGCAGCACCGCGTTGACATACCACAGAAAGAGAGCGGGGCCACCGATAGAGCCCTGTGGCACACCGTGAGATACTAGATGGGGGGTAGAGGACTGCCCTTTAGCTGAGAGAGTGAGTGAGCGGCCAGTAAGGTAGGAAGTAAACCAGGCGACGGAGCAGGGGTTAAGGCCGAGCTTGGAGAGAAAAAAAAGTAGGAGGTCGTGGTCGAGGCAGTCAAATGCCTTCGACAAATCGAGGAAGACGCCCACAACGACCGCCCCCGAGCTTGTGCCATCAAGGATGAACTGGCGGATCTCGCAGAGCGCAGTGTCGGTGGAGCGTCCGGGTCGGAAGCCATGCTGGTGTTCAGAGAGGAGAGCATTCGACGAGATGAAATCGTTTAGCTGCTTGAAAACGGCTTTCTCGAATAGCTTAGCAAGGAACGGAAGAATACTAATAGGGCGGCTGTTGGCGGGGTCTTTACGATCGCCTTTGCCCTTGTAGATGGGGACGACTGACGCAGATTTGAATTCAGCTGGGAAGATTCCGGTGCGGATTGAAAGGTTAAAGATGAATGCAACAGGTATGCTGAGCTGACCGATAGCATTGTAGACAACCTTAGACGGGACTGAGGAGCCGGATCCGGCGTAAGAGGTTTTGACTCGACTGCAGAAGGAGGGAATAGAAAGCGGATCAATATACTTTAGAGACCAAGAATAGGAGTTTGCGATAGGGAACGCGTAGTTACAGAGTAGTGATGCGAAGGGGTGATCAGGGGGAACAGTGCTGCAGTTAGCCGCGGTTTTTCCGCCGATGGATGCGAAGAAGTTTCCGAAGGCGTCAAGGGCAGCAAGGCGCTCCTCCGCTGAGGTAGAGGTACTGAGGTGATCGAGAAGTGAATTTGATTTACAGGAGCGGCCGCTAGAGAGATTGATGAGAGACCAGAGCTTGCTGGTAGAGGAGCTAGAACGTTTGACGAGGACGGCGGTGAACTTCAGGCGGGCGTATCGGACTTGGGCTCGATACCGTTTAAGGGCAGAGTAATAGATATGTTTCGCCGACGGGTTTTTGGAGCGGAAGTATCGGAGGGCTTTGCGCTTGAGCCTTTGACTGAGGAACGTAAGTTTCGGAGTGAACCACGAGGGGGCTCGGGATCGTTTGGGAGGGATGTCCCGGAGCGGGAAACATGAGTCGAAGATACTGAAGAGAGTGGTACGGAATGTACGAACAGCAATGTCAACATCGCTACATGCGTAGAGAGCGGACCAGTTGGTGTAATTTAGCGCGGTAAGGAAGTTTGAGTAGTTATGACTGCTGAAAATGCGCCGCCGTGCGGTGACAAGTGGGATACTCTCAAGCGAGTATGGCGGAAGGCTGAGGGTACAGAAAACCGGGAAGTGGTCGGAGAAGTCCAGACATTCGAGCACACCCACTCGAAGAATGGATGCCCAGCCGTCATGCGAGAGCCAGACATGGTCGAGGCAAGTACTGGAAGCAGGGCGAGGTTTGAGTTCGTGGGCATGTTGGAGATTGAGTTGGTGGAAACTTTCGGTGAGTTTGGCTAAGGTCGGGGTTTGAGTGCGGAGATCCACATTTAGGTCGCCGATCAGGAGGAAGGGACCCGTGTTAGCCATGACTATGTCCGTGACCAACGCGGCAAGAGAAGGTGATAGCGAAGCGCGGGCTGAGTATATTGAGAGGAGACAAAATGATCTGGGGCCGATCCTGACGAATAGCAAGACTGCCTGCACCGAGCCAGACTCTACCTCGAAATAGCCACCTGACGCGACATCGAGGGAATCCCTCGTGAAGACGGAGACGCCGCCGCCAGTCGAGTCGCGACATACGGAGAAATGAGAGAAATCGGGTATTTGATAGGAATGTGCCTCCTCGGGTCGGAGCCAGGTTTCCGAGCAGCAGATGATGTCATAAGAGCCAGAGAATCTGGCGGCGAGGATGTCGAACTTATGACCGCTTCTGATGGAGCGGGTGTTGATGTGGAGGATGCGAAGAGCAGAGTCGGAGAGTCAGGAGGATTGTTCAGTAGCGGGCGCCTCATTGATGATGGTCGGGTTCTCGGAGGAGGCGGAGAACGTGGGAGAGGAGCCAAAGGGCTGCGAGGGAGGGGAGACGGCGGTTTCCGAAATCCGTTCAGGGACGACCGTTCGCCCACCGAATCGATCGATGAGGAGCCCGGCTGGCCACGCGTCGGGGTTAAGGAATGTTGAGAGCGAGTCAGGCTTTACCTCAACGACAAAAGAAGCAGAGGGGTTATTACGGGGGCGATCGTCAGTTCTGAACTTCGAGACCGAAATCACGTCCTCAGAGATGAGTCTACAGTAATCGAGCAGAGCTTCGGCTGTGGTTGCAGCTTCGGCACGCCCAATGAAGATACGTGAGTTGCGAGGTGGTTCAGGGGCGGCAGCGATACCTGATTTGACCGATCCGGTGCCGATGCAGGCGGAACCCCTCAGGCGAGGTGCGGGCGCTGTCGGGGGTCTAGCTGCCCCAGAAAATGAGGAGCGAGAAGGGGGCCGGGAATTGAGCGATGGACCGTGATCCCCTCTATTAGAGGGCCTCGAGGAGATAGGAGGTGATGGGACGACTAGTCGCTGGGGCACACACGAGGCTTAATTGATTACATGGGGGTAGTTAGCAACGTGTCGACCACTGGTGGGAGGAGGAGGAGCGCGTACTCCGTAATGAGGAAAGTCGTGAGGCTCTTGAGCCGTGCAAGGGAAAGTGTGGCCGCGTTGGGCATTAGAGCGCTCGAAAGACTCGAGTCGATGCAGGAGTATGAGTTTCTCCTGACGGAGTGAGGAGATCTCCTCGTAGGCGAGATCCAACCGAGACAGTAGTTCCCCTGCCCTGTTTTCAGGATGAGCAGGATCGCCATGCAGGGAATCGGTCGGGACGGGAGATTCTAGAGCAGCCACTCGGTCCTCGAGGGAAGTCAATTTATCTTGAGCACTGTTTACTGCACGGGACTGATTGCTCAGGTCCATGTGTAGGTTTCCTAGAGCGAGATGTAGGTAGTGGCAGAGGGGGCAGGAACGTGAGGTGCTGCACTTGAAGACCGTGCCACATTTCTGGCAACAGGAGAGCTCGTTGAGATTATCGGGAGATACGATGTTGAGTTCAGCGCGCGAATCGATCGCGTTCGAACTCATATTCGCAGAGGGAAAGAGCGCCTGTTTGGCCAATGGCCGGCGCGGAGACTTGTCAGACACGGTTGATGGAATGGGCTCTGTGTTGGACGGGACAGGGGACTCGGACCAGCATTGAGAACACTGGAAGACTCCACATCCGGCGTCCGCAAGTAGACGACGATTTGTGGATGGGGTGATGCAGGTCCTATGGGTCTCGGAGGAGCAAGTTGAGCACCTATAGGGTTGAGAGTTTCCGCGGAAGACCCGGTTGCAGGCCGAACAGGTACCTGCGACCGGCGGGATGAGAATAGGCTCAGGCATGTTGAATCCGAGGTCGAGAGGCTTGAAACTAGCACAGGGTGACGGACGAGTGGGAGGGGGAAAAGTAGCACGGATCCGGGCTGCCGAAGGAGCCCCGGGATTCAGGAATCGGGGAGAAACCAGGAGCAAAACGAAAAGCGTCCGCACAGGGAAATCCCACACACGTGCTTGTGTGGGATTTCCCTTCTTCGGTTTCTCCGACTCCGTAGATGAGGGTGTCGTCGGCGACGACTAGGCATCCCTTCAAGTTATCGTACGCCCGCATTTGTCGTTGCTGGTACTCCTCTGGTGCTGATGATATTCCTTGTGGCATACCCAGATATTTGTATCTCCCCAAGGGTGTCCAAAAGTTGGTCAAGTCTGTGCTGTCCTCCTGAAGTTTTAGTTGGAAAAACCCATCCTTGGCATCACAGATCGTGAACCATTTGGCTTTAGCCAGCACCGGGAGATGGTCCTCCAACGTGGGCATCGCATACCGTGGGCGTTTCATAGCTTTATTCAATTCGGCAGGGTCGAGTGTGATTCGGACACTTCCATCCGCTTTGGGAACTACAACTGCATTGGAGATCCATTCCGTAGGATGCTCCACTTTTACGATTATTCCTTCTTTCTCCATGTTCCTGATGCGCTCGATGAATGCTTCTCTTGTTGCAATTGCTGGCCTTCTCGGAGCAGCCTGTCTGGGAGTAGATTTGAGCTGCCGGGTCGATTTCTATCTTGACAGGTGGCTGCACACAACCCAAGCAGCAAAAAATGTCTGCGTACTCGTCTAATAAGCTGGACATCGACCCCTTTGAGCACTTTGAGCACCTGCTCAACGCTCCCATGTACTTTCAAGATTCCCATTCTCAAACATTCGTGGCCTGAAAGCAGCGTCTCGACGCTGTCGTCGAGCACCTGGAAGGGTATGCTGTGCTGCTGGTTATTGTAGCGGCATTTGAGATTGAATTCTCCCAATGATTTCATCTCCGCATTGTTGTACGCTTTCAGCACCGTAGAACGAGTTTCGTCGAGTGGGTTTTCCGCAGCTTTCCCCGCCAAAATTTTCCTGTACGTGACGAGACTCATTGCCGATACCGTGGCTCCTGAATCTATCTGCGCTCGCAGCGACATGTCTGTTGGAAGCTCGAGAACTGCGAAAAATTTCCTTCCCTTCCGTTTGTTCTCTTCGGGCTTCGAGATAGTGAAAATTCCGTGCTCCTCCACGTAGGTCTCCTCGTGCTCGCCTTCGGAGTCGCTTGAGCGTTCTCCTTCCGTTTCTCCTGCAACTTGGAATAGCTGCTGTTTCCCTGCCGATTTCCACGCTAGTTCGAAGTGATTGGCTTTTCGACAGCGTTGGCATCGGTGACCGTATGCCGGGCATTTCCTTGGAGCATGTATGCTTCCGCAGAATGAGCAGATGTTCTTCCCGGTACGAGTTTGAGCTGTTGATTCTTTCTAGCGAACGTCATGTTGTTTTCTTGTTTGGCGGATGTATGACTGTTTGCTGAATTTTCTTCGCGAGAGTTGGAGCGCTTTGTCCTCTGCTTCTGTCTTTCGAAATTCCGGAAGCTGGGCGTCATTCGCCTCCGTTCTTTTGAGCACCGCCACCACATCTTCGATTGACCAGATTTTGCTATGTTCTGCTTCAGAGATGATACTTCTTGCTGGTTCCAAGCTCGTCCCACATGTTAGCTGGTTGATTGTCAGCTCCGTCTCCTGAGAGAACTTGCACGGCTTGACAGCCTTCATCACTCTGTCGACAAAGTCGGAGACGGATTCGGCTCCGCTCTGCCTGATTCGAGCGAAAAGGTGTCTATGGAAGTGCTTATTACCGTGAGGAGCGAACTTTTTGTCCAGTGTCTTGATGATGTTCTGTAGCGTGTTGCACAACGAGTCTGAATGGCTTTCGTCTCCCTCTAGAATGGCCCCCAGATCCAAACTCCGCAACAACTGCCGGTGCGGATCTCCGAAGCATGCGCGAAAGATTGCCTTGTTGTTTGCATGGAGTTCCGCTTTTGAGGTATTCCACCAACGCGTAGTCCAGGAATGCCTCCCGAAAATCTTTCCAGGTTTCGCTGTTGTCCTCGCCTTGTACAACTCGGAATGGGTCCGGTTGGCGGGTTTTCTTCTTGTCTGACATTCTCCAGGGTTGTTGATTTTTATTTGGCTTGACTTTTACTTCCTCCGGTTTCGTTCGTCACTCCAATCCTGTCGACTGCGCCATGTTGAGCAAGCCGATTGATGACACATACGAATGGCATGAACTAGCACAACAACTGACTCTTTATTATAGTGTCGTAGCCGACGCCATTCATGTTGTGACCGCGCGCCCTCAGGCGGTAGAGATCACCAACACCTCTTCCAGTTCAAAACAAATCCGGGTGCTTGACTCATATGATGCAGGGCGCCTTCTTGCAAAATGATGTTCGGAAACTTTGGCTCGATATTGGGAGTATGTTCTGCGACGCCTGGTCCGTCAGCATTCCGACCTCTAAGAAAGAGCTAAGGTGCTTAACTCCATTGAGGCCATCGGAGACAGAAAACGTCGCCCTTCTTCGAGTGAAAAATTCGGTGTTCATGACCAGTCAACTGTTGGCAAAACCCTGTTAGGAGTTGTCCTGTAGTGAGCACACTGAGTGGGTCTCAGTCGGCAGGGGCTCAGTTCGGATGAATTGAAGTTGGGTAGCACGGTGATTGGAGCAGCAGTGGAGCGGGTGAAGTCTAGGGAAGCAGGTCTCTAGAATAACAAGGCAACTGGATGCGGGTGACAGACTGATCTGTGTTTAAGACTTTATTTCAGACAGCTTATATAGGGAGGCAAAGGGCTATTTTAGACAAAAGAACACTGACGATCATTATATCCAAATTTCATCCAATTACATCAAATTGCTCTGGTGAAACATAAGCAACGCGGTGATTAACAAGCGTAACCGAAAGAACGCTATTACCAGTGAAATACTTGGAGCAATTAGTCAGTAGCACTCATTTATCCCAACATTTTCTCCCTTACTGCGTAATGAAACAAAGTAGTTCACAGGGATGAGGAAGAGAGGTGCGAGTATGAAGTTCAATTATCAGATGAGCAAAGCTTACTCATCATCTCTCGGTGTTAACGTTTCTAAGCATGGATCGTATTACCTCTCCTCCATCGGTGTGCAGCGAGAGTGACACCTGGATTTTGGATTCATCCAGCGAGTTTCCTGAGAGTGTCGTTGGCAGTGCGATGACAGGTTCCGAGACGGGCGATTCACAGCAGCCGATAGTGATTGACGAGACTTCCCAGTCCAGTGAGAGCCAGAGGGAACCGAGGGATGGTTTCCGTCAGTTTGCTCGCTTAGTCCGGCGTCGCAATCGTCTTCGTTTCCATCGAGCCTTTGAGGTCGCGAATCTCATTTGGCGAGACATGAATTCGGAAGCGCGCAGACCATTCCGCGAACAAGCCCTTCGTGAAAGCTCAACTCCTCGTCGCTGTAATCACCCTCTGTGTGTGCATCGCAAAGAATATATGAGCAAATTGATTGTGACCTTGGTGGATACCTTGAAGAGGCTTGAACAATAAAAGTGGTGCCGTATTCTGATTATAAATTCAGAGTGCACACTGGGAAATCTATATAAAACCGAGTTTCCTTTGGTGATTAATTGGTGAAGTTTCCCCGAACAACGAAACTATGGAGTTTCTGCGCAGACTCGTAAGTTTCCTGCTGGGAAACCTATTTTTCAGACATTCTCCCTTATTTATATTTGCCTGATATATTCCTATGCACTAGAATCCGTTGTCATCGAAACGAGTACGGTTCGCGGTGTCCCCAAAACGCGATTCTCTTGAGAGGGCGAGGAGCACCGGAGCACTGGCGAGGAGCACTGGCGCACAGACGGGGAGCAGCCAAGCGGTCTCCAAGACGGTGACCGTAGCGATGGCCGAGTCCTCCTCAGACGCGAAAGAAATTCAGGCGGTCCGGGAAGACAGCATGAGGTCGAGGGCGAGTCTGAACAGGCCGACGTCGTTCGACGTTGCGTTGAGCTCCATCATGATCATCTTATTTTTCATTGGAATTTGTGGGTAATCTCTAAGAACATTACAACTTCCTTGATTCCGGAATGTTCACTCAATTTGACTCCTGTTTTAAATGCAGGTGTCATCATCAATCCGAGGAAGGCGCAAGAGGACGAGAGGGAGACGTCCGGGCCGATCGAACTAAACACTGCGCATTGTGAGCGCTTGTTGTCCGGTCTCCTGTGTTCGAAAACAGGCGGAAGTTTCTGTATCTTCCTGGAGGGTTTCGACCGTAAAGTTACGGTCGTAAAAGTCGGGAGCCCGAAGGAGAGCTGGAAAACTCAATGGGAGAGAGAGAGGGCGCGCGAAGTCTGTGGAACGAGGATCATCCTAATGGGTACCCGTTTATGAACGAGAACAACGAAAAAAAAATTTATCATAGTGTCTCTTCGTCTACCCTTCGAAAGGGGGCTCCCATCTCAATTTCTCTGTAGCCGTTTCGTTTCAATTTTATGAATAGGTAGGAAACGGAGCCGGATAACACAAGGACGGCGGTCAAGAGAATTCCGGTGGAAATCCACCATCCCGCACTCTGACTCGAGGGAGTCGGTGGCAGAGCAGTGGGCGTTATTGGTGCATTCGACGTTGTAGGGAGTTCGGTGGAAGTTGGTTCCGGTGAACTAGGTTCACTTGTGGGACTCACTGTTATCGGGGAACCGGTTGACGTTGTGATCGGAGCTGGTGTCGTTTTGTGCAACCATTGATTATAGGCATCCCAGATGCCAGATCCTCCGAAGACAGCATTGGGTGTAATACAGGCAACGTTTTTCGTAGCATCCATAATGCATACATTTTTGTCCTGGTAGCAGGTCGAAGTGAAGCGACCGCTTGAAGTTTCATCTATAGCACAGCTTTGATTATTTCTCCTGCATGAT